TCAACAAATTTTTTAAAAAAATAAAAAAAAAGTTTTGGGTGAGATTAACAATTTAAAAAAAGCCTGGAAAAAATTGATTTGTTTTTTAAAAAATAAAGGGAGATTTTATTAAAGGGAAGTTGAGTATTGGGAAAGAGGGAAGGAATATTTTGGGGAATTTTTAAAATTTTGAATGAGATGGGGAAAGCGTGATTTCGTGTTTGGGGCAGGAGGAATAACATCTTGTAGGAGTGGGGAAAGACCAGTTTGATTTGGGGGGAAGTTCGTGGGGCGTAGGTAAAATGAAGGGGGTAAAGGCAGCCGGGATTGATGGATAAAGATAAAAATTTAAAAAGAGGTGGGGAATATTTTTGGAGTGGTTTGGGCAATTTTTTAAAAAATGTATGGAAGGGGGGTAAGGTCCCGGGATGGGAGAGCAGCTATTTCTTTGTATAAAAGGCAAAGGGGAAAAAAAGAGATGAAAAAAATTATAGGGGGATAAGTCTGTTGAGTTACCTGGTAAAGTGTATGGAAGTTTATAATTAAAAGAATTAAAGTAAGACGGAGAATAGGTAGAAATGAACAAGGGGCTTTAGGAAAGGTAGGGGGTGTGGGACCAGGGTTTTTACAGTAAAACATAAAAGTGAACAGTATTTAGATAAGGTAAAGGGGTTTTTGGGGCATTTATGTTTTGGAAAAGGCGTATGACAGGGTGGATGGGGGGGCAATGTGGCAGTTTTGCAAGTGTAGGTGGGAGGGTAGGTTAGAAAGCATTGAAAGTTTTACGAGGATAGTGAGGTAAATTAGGTATGTGGGGAAAGGGGAAATTTTTTTCCCCATAAAAGTACCCCTTAGACAAGGATGTGTGATGTCACCGTGGTTTTTTAATATTTTTATGATGGGGTTGTAAGAAAAGTAAATGCAGGGTCTTGGAAGGGCTGGAGTTAAAAATAAAGAATCACACACAAAGTGGGAGTTTACAGTGCTCTTTGCTGTGCACTGTGCTCTTGGGAGTTTTGAAGAGAAGTTGCAGAGATTGGGGGATGAATTTGGTAGGGTGTGCAAAAGAAGAAAAAAAAGGTGAATACAGGAAAAAAATAAGGGTTTTGAGGTAACAAAAGATAGGGGTGAAAGATTGAATTTCAGATTGGAGGGGAGAGGTATGGAGGAGGTGAACGTTTTCAGAATTTGGGAGTGGAGTGTCGCGGATGGGGCTATGAAAGATGAGGGGAATCATAAATTTTTGAGGGAAAAAGAGTGAGTGTGCCCTTTTTGGGGCTGTGGAGACAAAGAAATTTTTCCTTGGGGGCAAAAGGGGAATGTAGAGAGTAAGTTTTACCAACGCTCTTTTTGGGGGTAAGCGTGGGGGATGAATGGGGCAGCGAGGAGAAGGTGGAGGCAGTGGAGATGTTTTAAGTCTAAGGGGAAAGGTGGGGTGAATAAATGCAGAGAATTCAATTTTTGGGAAATTAGGAGGGGTGCGGGTTACCAAAAAATGTTGTCCAGAGGGGGTGAGGGGGGTTGTTGAGGGGGTTCGGACCTGTAGAGAGAATGGAGCAAACAGAATGATTCAAGAGTGTTCAGTCTGTAGTGGAAGGGAAACGGGGTAGGGGGGGGCCTAGGAAGGGGTTTGGAGGGAGGGGGTAAAGGGGTTTGGTGCGAGGGGGTTGGCTTCCAGCAGGGATGCGTGACGTGTTTTAAGGATGAATGGGACAAAAGGGTTTTTTTAAAAATTTACGTGCTGTTGGAGTGTGAGCAAAGTAACATTTTGAAGGATTCAGGGAAACCCGGGAGGGCCCGGGCTTGAGTCCCGGAGATGGGAAGTACGTGCTGCACTCGAAAGGGGGGGTGTTAATGTTGCGTTTAAAACGTAGTGTAAAGCACCCTTTGGCAAGACATGAGGAGTGAATGATGGTAAAATTTTTTTTTTCGGGGCCCCCCTGCCTTGGTGGGAATCGGCCCGGTTTTTATAATAAAATAAAAAAGTTAAACAATGGAAGACTGGTTCAGATGGTGTGTCTTCTTAATTTTGATAACAAAACACAACTCAGCCCCAGTTTGCAGGTGTCTACACATACTTGGAACAGCTGAAAAGATGTACAGGAAGGGCCCCACAGCCCACAGATCAGGTTTTAAAACACTGAAAAATGCTCTACTGCTGCATAATAAAACCAACAGAATGAAGGACTTTCAGTTAGCTAATCTTTAGCCCCTCCTTTGCATAAAAGGGTCCTGAAGGGGTTTGCCGCTGCCCCTATCTCACTCCAACCCCTTGCTGGACTTCATCACCCCGCAAAACACCAACCAATGTATTTTCCATCCCATGTACTGAGAAAAAACCGTTTTACAGGGGCAACTGAAAAAAGTTTCTCTCCAAAATGATCTACAATTTCCAATATGAAATCAATAAAAACTAAGGAAAGTGCACCAAGTGTTTTCCGAGTCTGGAAAACTGGAGTATGATGGGAAAAAGCAAAAAACAGGTCAAATCAAGGAAGGAAAGGGCCTAATATATAATCAAAATATAAAAATCCAAAACAGAAAATGTAGACAAGTATACACTAAACAGGAATGTAACAAGAGCAAGATTACATGGCTTAAAATTACACATCAATGGGAGCCACAGTTATAAAAAATAACATTTCTTCAACATATCACAGAACACTCACTAATAATCTACAGAGACAAACTCTCCAGATTAATTGGTCTGTATATTTTGATCCCCTTCTGGGATCCTCTTCAGCAGAATGGGGAGGGTATGAGCCCATGGAAAGCAAGTCCTAAAACTCACAAGCCAGTGTGCTAACCACAAATGGTAAACAAAAAGTGGAATGATCAAATAACATTGCAAGATCAAGACAAAGAGCTAGTGCCCCTCCTAACAACTCAAATAGGCATTTACACACACAGTGTACAGTAGAATTACGGTTTTCGTCTTTAATTCGTTCCAGAGAGTCTGACAAAAACCGAATTCAACGAAAACTGAACCAATATGTATTTCCTATATGAAAATGTAAATCCAATTAATCCGTTCCAGACACCTAAAAATATTAACAAAAATACATTTTATAGAGAATAACTATAGTTTTACATACAGAAAACAATGAGAAATAAATATAAGCACTAATGAAATGGATAAATCACTTTTACCTTTACTGAAGACGTGTTGGCGTATGGAAGACGGTGAGGATGGGAGAGGGAAGAGAGGTTATCTCTACCATCACTACCACCCTCTACCATCATCACTACCACAATCACAACCACCCTCTACCATCACAACCACTACTGCCATCAACCACTACCACCACTAAATTCTATCATGTTTCTAATCTTCTTTATCAAAGGGCTGGCACTCAGAACTTTCATTGGCCCCATGGTGGCTTATTTAACCTTTGACTGTCACAAGCCACTTCCTGAAACTGTCATTCTGTTGAAAAAAAAAAAAAAAAAAAAAATCTTATGAAATGATAGAGAATCTTTCCCTGATGGTAATGATACCAAAAGTACAAAATTTGATAGAAAACTTACAGAATTACACTCCCGCGAAGTATGTAATCTCGGTGATATATACGCATCTGCGATTTCGCCCATGTTGAGCCCTATTTTCGCCCAATTCCGTTGTTCCAGTTGACCAAACTCATAGCTATTTCTTTAGAACCCCATTTTTTCTATCAACTGAGTACAAGAAACTGCCCATTTACTGATATCAATTACCCAATAAAGTGGTCAGAAATTGGCAATTTGGCCAATTTCACACACATTAAAAAAGATGCCAATTTCAAAATAGGGTCCAGAATAAACAATGCAGACATTCTTGGCACTAAAATAACATCCTCTGTTCATTAGTCATGTCTCTAGGTCCCTCTTATATTACTCTTGCTTTCTATTTTGATTTTTTATTCACACAAAAAATACAAGATTTACTGTTATGCAGATTACCACATTTTTGTAAAAATGGTATAAATAATATCAGCGCACTAGTGAAAGAATATTAGACTCTTTAGTTGATGTGTATTGGACGTGTGGCGTGATCTGCTTACTTTTGAACATTGTTAAATATCGAACATTTCCGCTCCTTTGAGATCAATTTCAAGGTTGTTTTCGTGAAATTAATCAAAATCATCTCTATTTCTGTAATATATTTTCCATTCTATCAAATGAGACCAAGAAAATGTGAATACAACCATAAATACTATATGAAAATACACCTCAAAGTCGGCATTTTAATCCAAAAACACTGAGTGCTGCAGGATTTTTTTTATACAGTGCACATTGACCACACATACTCATTCTCTCACATGTGGGTCTACCAGCTTGATTTGAAGCCGTTAGAATTACTGACTAGATCTGTATACGTCCGAAACACTGGCTCAAGACGTATACACCTACCATCCAACTTACAACCTGCTCTACATACGACCACTCGACTTACGACCATGTTTTTTATGCCCAATTTCTGGGAAATAAACAACTGTGTGTTGTACACAGTGTTTATCCTAAACCTTTCTGTATAAAATACAGTACTAACAGCATAAAAAGTAAAGTAAAAAATGAAATACCAAAACAAAATAAAGTCATTACAAAAATGTGAAGTTGATATTCAGTAGTAAAGTTAGACTTACGTCCATTTTGACTTACGACCGGTTGGTCAGAACCAAGCTCGGTCGTAAGTCAGATGGTAGGTGCATATACGGCAGAAACAGTCAAAGGGTTAACATTCGCATTCAATAAACAAGCACAAAAAACAATGGATTACGAAATGTTTTGTATGAATGCACAGGGTAATGTCCACTTGACGAGAAACAAAGCCAGTGACTCAGAATGGGTGCGTGGGATGCTGTGTGTGGGCACGGGCAGATGGACACATTTGGTACGGCGGACGAAAACCTGGTGATGAACGAAAACTGGGACTATTTTGACAAAAAGAGTCATCGAAAACCGAATTTGACGAAAACCAGGGAAAAATGAAAATAGAGGTTCCATTTTATATTAATTTAAATATTAAAACAAAAATTACTTACTGTGTAAAACTCAGCTACTTGTTTCACATTTTCTGCATCATCAGCTCTAGCAAGAGCAGCCAGGCCATCAGGATAAAGTTTACCACACTGAGGGTAAAGTTTCTTTCTATCCTCATTTGTTAGTTCCGTCCCAAAGCTGTTAAGTGTGATGATGAATGCTCGACGGTCAGCCTCAAACTGAAATTTATTTGATGGGAAAAATTAAAGTTAAAACCATATAAAGCATAATATAATGAATTTGGAGGGCTCTTACTAGGAATGAAACAGTATTTTGAATTCATCAGGACCTCACCCTCCTCTTGTATTCATAATTCTTTGTTCCCCATGAGAACCTGTTAATAATAAATTGTGACCACAGCATCATCAAATTCTACTGGAATCATAAATGACATTGCCTCACCCACACTGCCAATAAAAGCTCATGTTTCCTAAGGTAACATTCTGACTCCTCTCCTATTTCTCAAGAGTATAATGTCATATTCCCCTCAAGGAAGTTTCCTTGATACTAGTGAAGGGCTTAGCATACATGAAAACAAAAATGTTATACTGTGAATAGTTATCACTCAAATACATTTTTATTTTGACTGCCACATATGCTTTTCTCTGCCAAGCCACACACATTAAAAAAAAGTTACAGATAAACCAAAACCCTAGTATTCAAAATGGCTGAAAGTTACTTTTGTTTAGGGAAAATGTCTTACTGGAAATAATTGGCTACACACAGCAGTGACAAGTTACACATTACAGCACAGTCTTTCCTCAAACCATGTCATGAACATTAATATTATAGGAAATGATTAGTGGTTGTTAAATGCAGCAGCAAGTGTTCAGTGTGGATTATTATTACATCATGGGGGAGGGAAGGGGAGAAAATTATTAACCCATAGATGTGTCACAACATTAGGCAAATGGGAGGCAATCAATTTTGATCCAAGGAAAGGGAAAATAGTTCCAATTCTATGGATAAAAAGCTTTTTACAGGCATCTCCTCAGAAAGGTTCAGTGTAGATAATACCAACTTGTTTTCATTTAAAATGCAGTTAAATAATGTGACCATTTTCACATGTTATGGGCCATCTAACTGCTCCTGCTCACCACCACTTGCCACTACCCAAATTCTACCATATCAACAATAAAAACACACAACATAGCCACTCACTCACGGCAAGCATTGTGTGTACGGCTATTTGTACTTTGCATGAACTAACCAACCCACCATACTTGGGATGTACAAATTAGTTAAAATAGGAACACGATATAATCCCTTCTGTATACATACGGGCGCCTAGCAAACCTAAGAACAGCATTCCGACTTCTTAAGAAATCGTTCAGGACCCTGTACACTGTGTACGTTAAAGCCACCCTGCTTCGGTGGGATATGGCTGGTGCATTGAAAGAAAGAAGGTGGAGGAGCATGATATATACTTTTAACTTACTTGCCTCTTAATATCCCACGTTTCCAACATACATACTGTATAGAGAAAGATGCCTGCTTTCATGTTACACAAACAGTTCCAAATGCACAAACTACAAGGCTTTGACTTAATCTATAAAGTTAAAAATTAACTGAGACAGTCCTCAAATAACAAGTGGATTATTCTTTGAAGTAACACCTTAGGTAACATCCCCTTTCATTCCATAAGATCTAAATATATAATAATGATTATGAAACTGAAGCTTTCATCACATATGAGCTACTTACAGCAAGTATCTCACACATGACCTCAGCAGTAATGCCACCCAGAGATTTGCAGTAGCTGTAGAAAGACTCCAGGTATGCCTTGTATAGTGTGTTGCGGATGATCTCTATGTTCAGTTCATCCAAATCTTGCTCACTCACACATTCACCAAAGAAATCAGCTGCAATATAGAATAAATCTTGTTGTTTTAATCAAAGGGAGTCTGACAGAAAATTTTTGTATCAGTAAAAAGCAAATTTAAATTTGAATAAAATTTGGTAAAATAAGCGTCTGCTTATACTTTGCTCTATGCTTTTATTTCAAAATTAATTTTTTTGAATTCAAATAAAAAATGGTATAATTTTCCCAAGTAGCGGGTATCAGAAAGTTTAAGTGTTAAATTTTTCCCAAAAGTGGGTATCAGCAAGTTTCCCGTGTTCATTTTTCCCAAGTGCGGGTATCAAATAGTTTAAGTTTTCATTGCAAATACAGTAAAAGTCCAAAAATTCATTTTAAAAATGAAGACTCCTGTTTCATTTGTAAAATTTTATTAACCCCTTCTTAATAATTCTTTTTTGACTGACAGAATTATTTTTCAATGGGGCAAATTTTATTTTAATGATAATACGAAATTGTTATATGGAATGGGAAGACAGTGCCAGCACTCTGAAAAAGGGGGGTTTAATGTTGCGTTTATAACTTTTTTATAGAGTTTTTAGAGTTTATAGAGTTTTTTGCTTTTTTTGCGTTTTTAGCAGTTTTATAACAGTTTTATAACAGTTTTAAAACAGTTTTATAACTGGCAAAACATGATGGGGTGAATGATGGTGAAAATTTCTTTTTTTTTTTTTGGGGGGCACCTTTCCTTTTGGAAAAAGGCCGATGTTTAAAAAAGAAAAAAAAAGAAGTACAGGTACCCCTCCGACTTATGACCAAACTTTGGGTTTGACCAACCTTGTAGTCAAAAGGACGTAAGTTGAACCCTTTTAAAATTTCGACAACGGGTAGGGCAAAATATCAACCCTTTTCCCATATAAACTACCTACTAGTCTGTAAAGAATGTACAATCATTATTTCATCCTTTTTATATAAATTTTTTCCATTTTTATATTTTAATTATTTGTATATATAAATGATACATTGTAGTGAACTGTATTGTAAATTTTAATCGCATAATATCTATGTTTTTTGTTATCTTATTATTTTGAACGTGGAATGGGGGGGTACCCTGGGAGTGCATCCTCCAGAAGTAGTTAAAAAATTATACCCTAAGCAAAGAGAAAAAATCTGGAACATTGTAATACGTATCCGGCTGGCGGCGGGTGGTTGCTGCTGAATGGGCCGTCTTCTCTTTTTGTATCTCCTTTTCCCCTTTCCCTATCTCCTCTTCCCCCCCCCTATCTCTTCTCTCCCCATCTCTCTCTCTCTCCGTATCCTCTCTCCCGTATTCTCTCTCCGTTTTTCCCCTCTCTCCCCCTATATATACTCCTTTCCCCCATATATATTTATATATATATAAAAAATAATAGGTTGTAGGTTGGTAGAAGCAACCACCCAGGGGGGTCTACCCCCTGCAAGTGAGTGTAAAAAGAAAGCCTGTAATTGTTTTCTGATGGAGGATTGCTGGTGTCTTTGTCTGCTCATAAAAAGCAAGATTACGGTAGTTTTTCTACTTCTACTTCATTGGTCCACTACACAAAATGTACACGTTTTTTTAAAACACATCATCTGAGTTTTCTTTGATTTTATCTTTAAAAGTTCTTGGTCTTATTACTTTTCCTCTTTATCCAGGGGAAGTGGAATAAGAATCTTTCCTCCGTAAGCCATGCGTGTTGTAAAAGTCAACTAAAATGCCGGGAACAATGGGCTAGTAACCCCTTTTCCTGTAAAGATTACTAAAAAGAATAAGAAGAAGAAAATTGTCAAAGTGGGAAGTCTGAATGTGCGTGGATGTGTGCAAATGATAAGAAAGAGATGATTGTGGATGTTATGAATGAGAAGAAACTGGATGTCCTGGCTTTAAGTGAAACAAAGCTGAAGGGGGTGGGAGAGTTTCAATGGAGAGGAATAAATGGGATTAGGTCAGGGGTTTCAAATAGAGTTAGAGCTAAAGAAGGAGTAGCAATAATGTTGAAGGATAAGCTATGGCAGGAAAAGAGGGACTAAAAAAAGTACTAAATTCAAGGATTATGTGGAGTAAAATAAAGATTGGATGTGAAAAGTGGGTTATAGTAAGCGTGTATGCACCTGGAGAAGAGAGAAGTGTAGAGGAGAGAGAGAGATTCTGGGAAATGTTGAGTGAATGCGTGGGGAGTTTTGAATCAAGTGTGATAGTAATGGTGGTTGGGGATTTCAATGCTAAAGTGGGTAAAAATGTTATGGAGGGAGTAGTAGGTAATTTTGGGGTGCCAGGGGTAAATGTAAATAGGGAGCCTTTAATTGAGCTATGTGTAGAAAGAAATTTGGTAATAAGTAATACATATTTTATGAAAAAGAGGATAAATAAATATACAAGGTATGATGTTAGCACGTAATGAAAGTAGTTTGTTAGATTATGTATTGGTGGATAAAGGTTGATGGGTAGGCTCCAGGATGTACATGTTTATAGAGGGGCAACTGATATATCGGATCATTATTTAGTTGTAGCTACAGTAAGAGGTAGATGGGAAAAGAGGAAGGTGGCAACAACAAGTAAGAGGGAGGTGAAAGTGTATAAACTAAGGGAGAGGAAGTTCGGGCGAGATATAAGCGACTATTGCAGAAAGGTGGGCTAGTGCAAAGATGAGTAGTGGGGGGGTTTGAAGAGGGTTGGAATAGTTTTTAAAAATGCAGTATTAGAATGTGGGGCAGAAGTTTGTGGTTATAGGAGGGTGGGGGCAGGAGGAAGAGGAGTGAATTGGTGGAATGATGAAGTAAAGGGTGTGATAAAGAGAAAAAGGTAGCTTACGAGAGGTTTTTACAAAGCAGAAGTGTTATAAGAAGAGCAGAGATATGGAGAGTAAAGAAAGGTGAAGAGAGTGGTGAGAGAGTGCAAAAGGAGAGCAGATGAAAGAGTGGGAGAGGCACTGTCAAGAAATTTTAATGAAAATAAGAAAAAATTTTGAGTGAGTTAAACAGTTAAGAAAGCCTAGGGAAAGTATGGATTTGTCAGTTAAAAACAGAGTAGGGGAGTTAGTAGATGGGGAGAGGGAGGTATTAGGTAGATGGCGAGAATATTTTGAGGACTTTTAAATGTTAAGGAAGAAAGGGAGGCGGTAATTTCATGCATTGGCCAGGGAGGTATACCATCTTTTAGGAGTGAAGAAGAGCAGAATGTAAGTGTGGTGGAGGTTACGTGAGGCATTACGTAGAATGAAAGGGGGTAAAGCAGCTGGAACTGATGGGATCATGACAGAAATGTTAAAAGCAGGGGGGGATATAGTGTTGGAGTGGTTGGTACTTTTGTTTAATAATGTATGAAAGAGGGGAAGGTACCTAGGGATTGGCGGAGAGCATGTATAGTCCCTTTATATAAAGGGAAAGGGGACAAAAGAGATTGTAAAAAATTATAGAGGAATAAGTTTACTGAGTATACCAGGAAAAGTATACGGTAGGGTTATAATTGAAAGAATTAGAGGTAAGACAGAATGTAGAATTGCGGACGAGCAAGGAGGCTTCAGAGTGGGTAGGGATGTGTAGATCAAGTGTTTACATTGAAGCATATAGTGAACAGTATTTAGATAAAGGTAGGGAAGTTTTTATTGCATTTATGGATTTAGAAAAGGCATATGATAGAGTGGATAGAGGAGCAATGTGGCAGATGTTGCAAGTATATGGAATAAGTGGTAAGTACTAAATGCTGTAAAGAGCTTTTTATGAGGATAGTGAGGCTCAGGTTAGGGTGTGTTAGAAGAGAGGGAGAATACTTCCCAGTTAAAGTAGGTCTTAGACAGGGATGTGTAATGTCACCATGGTTGTTTAATATATTTATAGATGGGGTTGTAAAAGAAGTAAATGCTAGGGTGTTCGGGAGAGGGTGGGGACTAAATTATGGGAATCAATTCAAAATGGGAATTGACACAGTTACTTTTTGCTGATGATACTGTGCTTATGGGAGATTCTAAAGAAAAATTACAAAGGTTAGTGGATGAGTTTGAGAATGTGTGTAAAGGTAGAAAGTTGAAAGTGAACATAGAAAAGAGTAAAGGTGATGAGGGTATCAAATGATTTAGATAAAGAAAAATTGGATATCAAATTGGGAAGGAGGAGTATGGAAGAAGTGAATGTTTTCAGATACTTGGGAGTTGACGTGTCGGCGGATGGATTTATGAAGGATGAGGTTAATCATAGAATTGATGAGGGAAAAAAAGGTGAGTGGTGCATTGAGGTATATGTGGAAGTCAAAAAACGTTATCTATGGAAGCAAAGAAGGGAATGTATGAAAAGTATAGTAGTACCAACACTCTTATATGGATGTGAAGCTTGGGTGGTAAATGCAGCAGCGAGGAGACGGTTGGAGGCAGTGGAGATGTCCTGTCTGAGGGCAATGTGTGGTGTAATATTATGCAGAAAATTCGGAGTGTGGAAATTAGGAGAAGGTGTGGAGTTAATAAAAGCATTAGTCAGAGGGCAGAAGAGGGGTTGTTGAGGTGGTTTGGTCATTTAGAGAGAATGGATCAAAGTAGAATGACATGGAAAGCATATAAATCTATAGGGGAAGGAAAGAGGGGTAGGGGTCGTCTCGAAAGGGTTGGAAAGAGGGGGTAAAGGAGGTTTTGTGGGTGAGGGGCTTGGACTTCCAGCAAGCGTGCATGAGCGTGTTAGATAGGAGTTGAATGGAGACGAATGATACTTGGGACCTGACGATCTGTTGGAGTGTGAGCAGGGTAATATTTAGTGAAGGGATTCAGGGAAACCGGTTATTTTCATATAGTCGGACTTGAGTCTGGAAATGGGAGTACAATGCCTGCACTTTAGGGGAGGGGTTTGGGATATTGGCAGTTTGGAGGATATGTTGTGTATCTCTATACGTATATGCTTCTAAACTGTTGTATTCTGAGCACCTCTGCAAAAGCAGTGATAATGTGTGAGTGTGGTGAAAGTGTTGAATGATGATGAAAGTATTTTCTTTTTGGGGATTTTCTTTCTTTTTTTTTTGGGTCACCCTGCCTCGGTGGGAGGAACGGCCGACTTGTTGGAAAA